TAACACCATACTCACTCACTCACTCACTCACCTGACAATTCAGTGACTGACATCATGAGCGTCAGGAGACTAGGCTGCGACTGCACCAGTTGTATAACACTGCGTAAATAATTATTTGGTTTGACAGGCCCTCACCACTGTTTGGAAACATCAAGAAACCACTTTGACAATATTTGTCTTTGTTTAATTTGGGGAACACTTTTATCCCAAACATGGATCTTGATTTTTTAAAAGGTTTCAAATCAGACTATTGACATGTTCGAAATGCCAACCATATTTAGCACAGAGGAGGGTCGGAGGTACCTTTCGCAAACACAATCCTATTCCCATTTCGGAATCGAACACCGGACTTTTAGCTTTTTGATGTTAAGTTCTTTCGATTTTTTGCTCTGCATAATCACACGAGTGTGTGCGAAAACATTAACTGAGTGCAGACAGTATGACATCAAAGTATTTGTATAAAACAAGCTTTTCATCCTTTCTTACACGATGGCTAGTTGAAAACAAATTTAGATATTTTTTGTAATAACAGTATATAGATGAGTTATATTCTAACGATAATCTGGTATATTTGCCTCGTGCGAAGCAGTCGGAAACATCGGATAATAAAGCTTTCAACGGTCTTCTCTCTAATGCATGCTCTAGGGCTTGTGTTCACTAAAGACATGAACAATAGCACCAATGTTCCAGTGCCTTGAGCCCTCCCTGCTTGAGGAGATATGCGTTTTCACTGAAAGCAATATATGAACACGTGTTTTTAATATTTCAACAGACAGGTCAAACGCCAAGATGTTTAGTACAGTTCAACAGACAGGTCAATCGCCACGATTTTTAGTACAGTCCATAAGACGGATCATGCACCAAGATGCTTAGTACAGTTCAATAGACATGTCAAACACCAAGATTTGTTGTGCAGTTCAACAGGCAGGTCAAACACCAAGATGTTTACTACACTTGAATAGACTGGTCAAACACCAAGATGTTTACTACACTTGAATAGACTGGTCAAACACCAAGATGTTTAGTACAATTCAACAGATAGGTCAAACACCAATATCTATTTTACAGTTCAACAGAGAGTTCAAACGCCAAGATCTATTTTACAGTTCAACAGACAGGTCAAACACCAAGATGTTTACTACACTTGAATAGACTGGTCAAACACCAAGATGTTTAGTACAATTCAACAGACAGGTCAAACACCAAGATCTATTTTACAGTTCAACAGAGAGGTCAAACGCCAAGATCTTTAGTACAGTTCAACAGACTTGTCAAACACCAAGATGTTTAGTGCAATTCAATAGACCGGTCAAACACCAAGATGTTTAGTGCAATTCAACAGACAGGTCAAACACCAAGATCTATTTTACAGTTCAACAGGCAGGTCAAACACCAAGATCTATTATCCAATTCACTAGACAGGCCAAACACCAAGATGTTTAGTAAAGTTCAACAGACAGGTCAATCGCCACGATGTTTAGTACAGTTCAACAGACAGGTTAAAAGCCAAGATCTATTTTACAGTTCAACAGACAGGTCAAACACCAAGATCTATTTTACAGTTCAACAGACAGGTCAAGCACCAAGATCTATTATACAATTCAATAGACAGGCCAAACACCAAGATCTATTATACAATTCAATAGACAGGCCAGACACCAAGATCTTTAGTACAGTTCAACAGACAGGTCAATCGCCACGATGTTTAGTACAATTCAACAGACAGGTCAAACACCAAGATATATTTTACAGTTCAACAGAGAGGTCAAACGCCAAGATCTTTAGCACAGTTCAACAGACAGGTCAAACACCAAGATGTTTACTACACTTGAATAGACTGGTCAAACACCAAGATGTTTAGTACAATTCAACAGACAGGTCAAACGCCAAGATTTGTTGTGCAGTTCAACAGACTGGTCAAGCACCAAGATGTTCACTACACTTGAATAGACTGGTCAAACACCAAGATCTATTTTACAGTTCAGCAGAGAGGTCAAACGCCAAGATCTTTAGTACAGTTCAACAGACAGGTCAAACACCAAGATCTATTTTACAGTTCAACAGAGAGGTCAAACGCCAAGATTTCTTGTGCAGTTCAACAGACTGGTCAAACACCAAGATGTTTAGTACAATTCAACAGACAGGTCAAACACTAAGATCTATTTTACAGTTCAACAGAGAGGTCAAACACCAAGATGTTTAGTGCAATTGAATAGACCGGTCAAACACCAAGATGTTTAGTACAGTTCAAGAGAGAGGGGTCAAACACCAAGATGTTCAACAGACAGGTCCATCACCAAGATGTATTTTACAGTTCAACAGACAGGTCAAACACAAAGTTCTATTTTACAGTTCAACAGGCAGGTCAAACACCAAGATGTTTAGTACAGTTCAACAGACAGGTCAAACACCAAGATGTTTAGTATAGTTCAACAGACAGGTCAAACACCAAGATGTTTTGCATAGTTCAACAGACAGGTCAAACACCAAGATGTTTAGTACAGTTCAACAGACAGGTCAAACGCCACGATGTTTAGTACAGTTCAACAGACAGGTTAAACACCAAGATGTTTAGTACAGTTCAACAGACAAGTCAAAGACCAAGATGTTAAGTACAATTCAACAGACAGGTCAAACACAAAGATCTTTTTTACAGTTCAACAGACAGGTCAAACACCAAGATGTTTAGTACAGTTCAATGGACTGGTCAAACACCAAGATCTATTTGACAGTTCAACAGAGAGGTCAAACGCCAAGATCTTTAGTACAGTTCAACAGACAGGTCAAACACCAAGATGTTTACTACACTTGAATAGACTGGTCAAACACCAAGATGTTTAGTACAATTCAACAGACAGGTCAAACACCAAGATCTATTTTACAGTTCAACAGAGAGGTCAAACGCCAAGATCTTTAGTACAGTTCAACAGACAGGTCAAACACCAAGATGTTAACTACACTTGAATAAACTGGTCAAACACCAAGATGTTTAGTACAATTCAACAGACAGGTCAAGCACTAAGATCTATTTTACAGTTCAACAGAGAGGTCAAACGCCAAGATCTTTAGTACAGTTCAACAGACTGGTCAAACACCAAGATGTTTAGTGCAATTCAATAGACCGGTCAAACACCAAGATGGTTAGTGCAATTGAATAGACAGGTCAAACACAGTACAGTTCAACAGAGAGGTCAAACACCAAGATGTTCAACAAACAAGTCCATCACCAAGATGTATTTTACGGTTCAACAGACAGGTCAAACACCAAGATCTATTTTACAGTTCAACAGGCTGGTCAAACACCAAGGTCTATTATACAATTCAATAGACAGGCCAAACACCAAGATGTTTAGTATAGTTCAACAGACAGGTTAAACACCAAGATGTTTAGTACAGTTCAACAGACAGGTCAAACGCCAAGATGTTTAGTACAATTCAACAGACAGGTCAAACACCAAGATGTTTTGTATAGTTCAACAGACAGGTCAAACGCCAAGATGTTTAGTACAGTTCAACAGACAGGTCAAACGCCCAGATGTTTAGTACAGTTCAACAGACAGGTCAAACACCAAGATGTTAAGTATAGATCAACAGACAGGTCAAACACCAAGATGTTTTGTATAGTTCAACAGACAGGTCAAACACCAAGATGTTTAGTATAGTTCAACAGACAGGCCAAACACCAAGATTTATGTTACAGTTCAATAGACACTTCTTTTGATATGGATAGTAAACCATTGAAATAAACGTAAATACAGTAGTAAATACATGCCATGACCGGATTTACGTATGTTTTCAGATATTTCCTAACTTCGGGCATATATTTCATATGAATCTATACCTTTGAAACATATGCTCATCGTACATTTTCGTATGCACAAGCACCTCGTTCATGTATGCCCTGACCGGATTGTCAGGGATTTCCAAACATGAATTGCAAAACAGATACCCCGGTAAATACATGATCATACAGTATTTCCAATGCATTCCTTTGAATTTCAATGGGTGCTGAAATTTCCGATTTCGTTCTAAGTTTACTCGGGTCGGAAACACGTGAATTTACTTAGGTGGGGAAACACATGTAAATTTTAAATTTGCAAATATTTACACACCTTAGATATTACCTACTGGTCTAAAAGACTTATCAGTACCCCAACACCGACCCACCGCCACCACCCCACCCTAGGCCTACACCCTCTCCCTCGCACACACACACACACACACACTCCCTGACATACATATCGCTCTGGCCCATAGACCAGATATTTGGACCTTGTAAACAGACACCATGTGTTTGTCAAGAAAGACACGCACGTTATTAGTGGTGCTCAGTCATGGGTATCACTTCACCATGTGTTTCTAATTATCTCAGTACATTATGGCGTGGTCGGACGCGCTAACGAACCCTATGTGACAGTTACATTACAGAACCATTGAGTAGTGCTAATCTTGTAACACTATATTTACCCATTTCCAACCTTTTACGCATGTACTAAATATATGACAAACCTAACCCTGGTCATACGAGATTTCAAGGGTATTGAAATGCATGTCCTACAATCACAGCATTTACATATGTTACACATGTTAGGAAACACATGAAAACAATGGCCAGATTTACACACCTTTGAAATACATGTAAATGCAGGGTTGAATGTTCGTTTATTTTAACACCCCTTTGAACGTGTGTAAATCTGACGGCCAGATGATACGCCGCTTTAAATGGTATTCCACCCAAATTGATGTTGTAAACATTACTCAGTCACACACACTCGCGCGCGCGCGCACGCATGCACTTACATGCGCGCGCGCACACACACACACACACACACACTTCCCTATGTAAATATACACACATATTATAGATTTCAAGTTTGTTGAGGATTTTTTCTTAAGAAATTTTGCAGTGGTTTTAACGCTTTCAATTAAAAGTAAAGCTTTGTAGGTATTACACAGGCTAGTCAGTTTCACGAATAATGAAACAATTAGACTACACTCACGTGTAATCTTGGTCTGTTAGTACATACCTCCCGAGCACGTCTAGTCTGAATGTTCGCTGACAACCCCTGTCGTAACATACACTGAGCTGTAAATCAATATCAGATCCTGATTACGAAGCCAGCAGGTTGAGAGTTAGTCTACCGTTGGCAACAGTGAACTCTTTGTTTCACAAATCACTTCACAATCAACACTCCCTCTTGCTCGTATATCATGGGGCGGTGGGATAGCCTAGTGGTTAAAGCATCCGCTTGTCACGCCGAAGACCCGGGTTCGATTCCCCACCTGGGTACAATGTGTGAAGCCCATTTCTGGTGTCCCCCGCGGTGATGTTGCTGGAATATTGCTTAACGCGGCGTAAAACCATACTCGCTCACTCACTCACTCGTATATCATGAAAAGTAGAATCTATATCGGTCCTGGATGTAATTTGAAAAACATAATATGTTCAGAACTAAATTCTGAAAAATTTAAAATCTTCTGAACAGGACTGTATATCTTCAAATAGGGAAAGGAACAATGCTCTTTGAAACAAAATATATAGTACGTATGGTATCTCAGTTTATAGAGAGGCACGGTGGCCTGGTCCACTCAGCTACCACTATTCGCGGCACAGGCGCTCCATACACCAATGGACCCGTGAAAATCCGTGTTAGAATTGATCTTCATCAACCCATGCATGTCGTAAGAGACGACTAACGGGATCGGGTAGTGGGGCTCGCTGGCTTGGCTTTGACTTGTCATCGGTTCCCAACTGTGCAGATCGATGCTCATGCTGTTGATCACTGGATTGTCTGGCTCAGACTGGATTATTTACAGACCGCTACCATATACCTGGAATACCGAGTGCGGCGTAAAATCAAACTGACTCACTCACTCAATACACATATGGTCGTACGTTTGAATGCAGATTCACCCTATTATGTTTCTATGTGTCAGCACTCAGAAATATTCGAGCTATATGATGGCACTATCATAACACAATGTTTGCACCTAAAGTGATCATTCTTCCCCTAAAGCCCTAAAGTACTGTCGGAAATGCCAAAAAAACCCTTTTTCCCATTAATATCTACAAGTCATGTAGTTAACATGTGAAAGTGAGAAATATCTGTTAGACTAAGTTTGGCCGAACTACAGTCTCAGTGATAGGGAGATAGGTGACGTAGTAACAGGACTTTATTGAGGAGAGATAAGTGCAGGAATGATCAATGCGGTGTCTTTTTTTAAAGTCCAAAGCGACTTATTTGGAACAGACTATGACTTTATGCAAATTTGTGTGCAATGACATTGTATTACAAAGGACACGCTTTAAATGCCCATTTTGAAATTAAACTTTTCATTATAAACGATAACTGACGTAAAAGATAATGTAATTTCATGCCAAGTGAGTCGCCGGTCCGTCATGATACCTGGATGAGCGACCTAATTGCCATCTATAATCTAATCTATTGTTTTCAGCAGCTATTCGCAAGTTTTCTAGTAGTATAGGGAAAGGCGGTACGATGACGCATGTGTACACCATACCTTGGAGCCTCCAAACGGCCAATTTGGCTCCCATAGCCACTAAAAAGAGTTTTTCACAAACTATATCGGAAGACAAAAAGTGTCCCGGTTGAAGTGCACTCCATTTAGAGATAAGCGGGTGTATGGATGTAGAAAAAAATGTCAGGAACCAAGCCGAGATTGGATCTGGTCGTTTGTCGCTTCGGGAGGTGAAGAAGAAGTACTACATATCGCAAGCCAGATATACACGATTCTGAGGTAGTATAGATCACGAGCCACTGCAAAGACAACTTCCGACATGGCAGAAGTTTTCGAGACCCTGCTAGAGAAGTGTCCCATGGCTTGCTTTCCAGACAGAGAGAAACAAATCCTTGAGCGATCCGGACACACCTTCTACATGCGATACCAGATCCCTCGACAGTTTCTTGAACTCTATTGCTGTACTTTTGCCAGTTCATAGAAGACAGCAGAATAGTCGATTTTGTCTATATCTCTCTGCCCAACCAATTCCAACCTGGAGCGGGCAAACTCTACATGCAAGTGCGGCGCCATAGACCATTGCATTGGCAGCAAGAAATGCGTTCTCTGGAAAAACAAAGCAATAGACTATACAACCCAGGAGCGACTCCCACTCGAGGTTCCAAGCACACTCCAAGATCTTGATTTTCCCCAGACGATCATAGAAGTCCTGGATGGTGGGAATAATTAGAAAATTTGGTTGGAGTGTGCTTGGCTTTTGCTTGGAGTTTGCATTGATTCGCCTGGAGTTTGCTTGGAGTTTCCCAGTTCTGTACAGTATTTTCCTTGGTTTCCTGGGACCTTGTCCTAGACATGTGGAAAAACTAGGTTTCCTAATCGGAAAATGGGATTTCCATATATAGACATATGGGAAGTATGGGGTATGTATATACCATGCCACCAAAAGAGATTTATCTTCAGACCAGATCCAAGAAATCCGTGCCATTCGTTGTGTGCTCCTGGCAGCCGAGGTCAAGAAGCGCTTCGGTATTGGGTCCAAAAGTCTCTACGAGCTATGGCAAGAGACCGCTGCAAAACTGTCGACCTTCTTGCCCTCCGTCCAGATAGCTCCAACCGTATTGCCGGCTGCAGAACTTCGATCCTCTTGCTCGCCAGCGAGATAGCTCCAAATCCAACCATCCAAGATTTTTCAGGTCATCTGGGGAAGATCAAGGCTTGTGCGGAGAAAAACGTGACGATGTTGTCGCCTCATGTGGAGCAAACCGTGACCATGTTGGTCGACATCTTGTCTAGGCTGAACGACGACAACGACAAACTCCGCAAAGAAAATAGAAAGCACAGAGGAGGAACAAGAAGAGACGCATCTGGACATCGCTAGCCGCCATGTTTGTCTGGAAGGTCGTCCAGACAACCTGGGAGCACTGCACAGCGACTGATACACTGGTCGACAGGGCAACAAAGAAGACAGAAACAGCCAAACCAGCTTGTACAGCCAAACCCGGGCACCCCCACTACATCGAGCAGGAAGAGTTTCTATGTGGTGTCGACGCGAAAAAGGTACAGTACTGTTCTCGTTTTGCCGTGGAAAGTGCTGACGGAAAATTTCCTGCAGGAATACTCTCCAGGTTCGACATCCAGAAGCGTCGTGGTGTTCTTCGTGACATCGACTTTCGAAAATGACGTTTTGGCTTGTTTTTCTTTGACGAGCTCGTTTTCCTGCTTGGACAAGTTTTATTTGTCGGAGATTCTGGATGCATCCAAAACCAACAGAACCAAAGATATTTCTTTCCCGTTTTTCTGGAGAGTTCTCGGCGTTTTGACAAGGAATCGAAGGACCGCCAACATTCTCAGATGGTAGGTGTGCTGTACGGGCATCCAGAATGTTTTTCCGCAATTGGTTTCTGCGAGATCACATAAGTTCCGACACCACGACTCTGCTAGAGTGTGACGTTTTGCAACAACCGAGAACGTTGTACCATCTGCGCAGCAGTTCCGACATCTTGCTCGTTTGCGTCTTGGATGCTAGTGTTATGTGCACATGGTTGTGCATGTGGGTCAACGTGTGCTAGTATGCTTCCCTCTTTTGGAGAATTTGCTAAATGCTAAATACAAGTTATGTTATATTCAGTAATGTTCAGCATTGTTAAACCAGGCATGTATGAGTGTTTTGTATGGTGGCCTAGTGGTTAACACATTAGACTTAAAATCCAAAGTGCTAGGGTTCAAATCCAGTGTAATGGCAAAAACGTTTGTAAATTTAATCAGTATATATATAGCCTCACTTTCATTATTGATGATCACATGACCTAACCCTTGCACAAAATCTTCATGCAAAGTCGGATTCACTGTGCTATCCACATGGTCACTTGGCTGTCTGCAAACAACTCTGTATGGCAACACCAAATTTTCTTAAACCTCATCGATGGACCGAGTCATGTCAATGATAATTAGCCAATGGCTTGTCAACGACTACCGAAAATCGTAACTTTAATAAATCCCCGTCGATGCGAGTTTTGGAGTTTTGTTCTTCCAATAATTCTTTTTAAAGAAAATTTGCAGACAGTCAAGTGTTACGCATCATACTCATGGGTGGTCGGCAGCATTCAACGTTAAGCAGTGGCTGCTGATATCCTTGCAAGTTTTACACACCACTGTGTAACGTGTGTAAACCGTCTGGAGTGCTCAAGTTCAACAGTGAGGCATGGCGTCACAGTACAACGTTGATGATGACAGTCTCCTCTACAGTGAGGAATGGCCACGTCGTCATTCTTCTGAGTGGCAAACAACATCCATGGTTGGTGATGTGAACACTGACAGCAGTGGTGTCGGTGATAGTGAGAATACCGTGAGAGTGTTGACAAATATTGGGATGCAGTTACGTCAAAACAGAACTGTTACAGAAAAAAGGCAGAATTGAACATTTGAGAGTTTTGAGAAATAAGACTGTTTATTCTTTATCATGTACTAGAGTAAAAATGAACTTGATCGTTTGAAAGAAAACATTGACAACTTCCATTTAGTGAAATCTGGTCTTGACAACTTTAATGATTTGTTGATGTATTATAAATCATGTGTAGATTTGTATTGCAGTCAAATTGAGGAAGAAGATAGAGCTTTGGTGAGAGACAGGTCGAATGAGAACGAATCATCATTCCTATGCTTCAGAGAGTCGTTAGTAAGTTGGGTCCTATGTGCAGAAAGAGACCTGGCTAATGAGTTACATGATTCTGCGTTACAGAAAGGTTCAGTGAGAACTAAGAGATCTTCTAAGTCTAAAATATTCACAACATTCTAGTAAATCAAGTTTAGTTAAATCTTCACATACTCATGAAAAAGCAAAACTTGCAGAGCTTCTTGCAGAGAAGTCCATGTTCAAAGCTCGTGCCCAGGCTGAGATAAAGCTGAAAGAAGTGGAGCTTGATACCAAGATTGCTAAGACAGCGGCGAAAGAGAAGGTGTACTCTGAGGCAGATGCTGCAAGAGAAGGTCAAGGTCTAGGTGATCCCACTGTCACATTACGAACTGTCACGACTCCGCCGTCACAGTACAATCAGATCAGTCAACAGAAAATTAACCCTTCTGCAGCAGAGTTTTTGCCAGTAA